ATTGTTTTTAAAGAGTCAGGAAGTGTCTGAAGACAACTATAGAGGAATTTGCCCTATCAGATATCAAGACTTACTATGAAGCTATGGTAATTTAAACAGCACAAAACAAATTGGACATATGAACCGAGTTCAATAAGGAGTCACAACAATCCCATGCATCTATAGAACTTTGGCTATGTCAGAAGAAATGTGTCATATTGGTGGGGAAATGAGGGACTATTCAATAAATGGAGGTAGGAAAAAATAATTATACATCTGGTAAAAGGTGAAATTAGAGTTCTATATCACACAAGGTGTAAGACTCAGATCCAAATGTACTAAAAGTTTAAATACTGAAAACAAAACTTAAAAGCTCTGAGTAGAAAGCATAGATAAACATATTTTAGACTTAGTGGGAGAAAAGAATTTTTAAAATGCAAACAATATAAGAAAAGAAATATAAAATTAAAAATAAATTTTAAGCAATAAATTTTAAAATAATAAGTCTGACTAGTAAAAATTAGGATTTTCTTGTTTATCAAAATATATTTTCAAGATGTCAAACAACCTAGTTACAAATGAGAACATATTTAAAATTCACACAACTGATAATTAGTATCAAGAATATACAAATAACTCCAAAGCAATAATAAGTGAAAAACAAATAGAAAAATGGGCAAAAGACATGAACAGGCATCTTGAGATGAGAAAACACTATGGCCAATAAATATATGGAGTGATGATTAAACTTGTAAATCACAAAAGAGGTGTAATCAAGACTATAATAATAAAACTTCTACCTGTAGTCAATCTGAGACTACCTAAATATCAAGTGCTAGAGAAGATGTTGTTCATAAAATTCTTTATCCATTCCATGGGATTCCAAATGGGTACAATTATTTAGTATTTAGTATTTAATACTCACTGTGGTAAGCGGTGGTTATGCCACTGCCCTCCAGCTTGGGTGACAGAATGAGACCTTGACTTTAAAAAAAAAAAAGTATCTTTCTATCAATACTAAGAATTAATATTTAGTACTACTTATAGATCATGTAGAGTTGAACACTGAGAGCAATTCTACTCCTTGATTCAATTCCAAACAAAACTACTGCTTAAGTGACAACAGAAAGTAGGAAAAATCCTGAACAATTTAAATGTCTATCAATAGAAGAATGGAAAACAAACTCTAGTATGTTCACACAATAAAATCTGTCAGAAGATTCCATATAGTCTTGGAAGATTGCAAACAGCATGATTCTTTTTAAAAATATAATTAAAAACAACTACTTTCAATAATATTCTTAGGAAATATAGATAAAGCTATATAAGTCAAAGGAATAACAGCAAAAGATAAATGTATGATGGATGCCCCACGACAGAGGCAAGGATTTGAGAGGGAACAGCACCACATTGCTAGATATGGGTTAATATCAAGATCCTGGCTGTTAAATTGGATGGTGGCTTCTTGGATGCTTAATCGGTAATGAAAGTAAGTAAAAAATAAATGAAGGCCTTGCATGGGCTATTAGCATGCTTGTGTTATGAAGCAGAGGTTATGACTAATCTATTTCTGTATACCACTTGTAATCCATTTTAAGAGGCAAAATGAAACAAAAAATCATCTCAGACTAAAATTTTAGATTATTTCTTAAAATACAGTCATGTCACAAGAGAGGAATAGAAAAATAAACCAGGCTACATGTCTTATTTTATTTGAGAGTTACAGAGAGAGGTTAGATACTGATTAGTTCTCACTATCAATAAAAAGACAGTTTTTTGTTTTGAGTCAGGGTCTCACTCTGACACCCAGGCTGAACGGCCCACAGTCTTGACCTCCTGGGCTCAAGCATTCCTCCCATCTCAGCCTCCTGAGTAGCTGGGACTACAGTCACATATCATCATGCTAACTAATTTTTTTATTTTTATTTTTGTAGACACAAGGTCTCGCTATGTTGCCCAGGCTGGTCTTGAACTCCTACACTCAAGCAGTCCTCCTGCCTCAGTCTCCCAAACTGTTGAGATTATAGGTGTGAGCCACTGTGCCCAGTCAAGATACATCTAACATATGAAGAAAAAACTAAAGCACAACAGATAAAAAACAGAATCATAATCAACAAAATTTTACAGGCAAAGGGGAAAAAAGAAATAATCAAGAAAGTTTAACAAATGAAAAACATCAAACATCAGAAATGAGAAGAAACGTATCAAATCTCACAATAAATTTATGAGAATTAAGAGTACGAAGCAAGGCCAGGCGCAGTGGTTCATACCTATAATCCCAGCACTTTGGGAGGCCAAGGTGAGAGGACTGCATGAGCCCAGGGGTTCAAGACCAGCGTGAGCAACTTGGTGAGACCTCATCTCTACAATAAACAAAAAAATAGCTGGGTGTGGTGGCATGCGTCTGTAGTTCCAGTTACTTTGGAAGCCTGAGGCAGAAGGATCACCTGAGCCCAGCAGGTCAAGGATGTGGTGGCCATGAGCATGCCACTGCACTCCAGCCTGGGTGACAGAACGACTACGACTCAAAAAAAAAAAAAAAAAAAGAGTATGAAACAAGCTCAGTGCTTCAAATATTACTTTACTTAATCATTTAGAAAACAAAAAATTAGAATGACCAAATTAAAACTTGACACTTGAGATTGCAAAAGATTTTAATGCAATGTATATTTAATTGGCTTGAAAAATTATATGAATAAATGATAATTGGTTAGTACGTAAGTATATATGTCAACTAACTAAAAATATAAGTAGCTACAGAGAGCTACCTATGCTTTCTTTTACCAGACTCTAAATAGGATTTTTGCAAAGTAAATAACATACATCCAATTCTGGCCAGCTATAGTTTTCTCTAGCACCATCTTTTAACTGTTCTTCTTTTCAGGACACAGTTCATTTTATTAAAATCACGTTAAGTAGGCATTGTTAGTCTCCTTTTTTCCTTTTAAGTAGATGAGAAAATGGACCAAGTAGTCTTTCTAGGTTTCAAAGCTAGTACGTCATGCTTCCAGGATTCAAACCCTGACAACAGGGCTAACAGGCCATCACTCGGCTATTGTTGATATCATAGTTGTTGATATCATAGTCCATTGAAACAGTCTATGCAGTACTAAAATCATATCAGACCATAAAAAAGGTACCTCAGAAACTAAGTAAAGCTGGAACCATGCCCTCTGTTTTCTCCTACTCATGAAAGATTTTTATTAAGTTGCAATATGAGGCAATCTCTGCTTTAAGACTACATAAGAACAAAATCATGCTGGTCCTTTGCTGCCCTCTTATGGATGATGCACATACATACACAAAAATTCTGTCAATATCTGCAGTCTCACTGCTAAAACTGAACTAATTCAGGAATACCTGGCTTTATATGAGAGATGAGATTCTAGAACAACATAACCAGTACATAAGATGTGCCCACCGAATATCTGTGGAACGGAACTGAAAACTTTATCTACTGAATCTTTGATATGTACAAGAAACCTATGACAAATTAAATGACTATTCATCTTCCCCCTTAATCTTTGTAGTATACAGATTTGTATATCCCACATTTAAAATTATGAAATTACATGTCACCAATTCATTCACAATAAAGATATGAATTAATTTAAAAAATCTAAAAATTTCAATTTAATCACTTGTTCCAAACCCCTGTCTCTTTTTAAAGCCAAAATCTAAAGATAATCAGAAGTGAATGACTGAAGTTTTTTCTAATTTCCTGCTTTTTATTTAATCTCTGTTGCTTGCGACGATAATCCCTCTCAGGAGAGACTAAGTATCTTAAACTCTGATAGACAGGACTGATTAATTTGAAATGAAATTATAAAGAGCACTGCCTGAAGTTTTGTTTTGCTGTTTTTGTTTTTTTTTTTTTATTTTTGAGTTGGAGTCTCACTCTGTCGCCCAGACTGGAGTACAGTGGCCGCTCCCGGCCACCGCAGCCTCGACCTGCTGGGCTCCGGTGATCCTTCCGCCTCAGCCTTCCGAGTAGCCGGAATTACAGGCATGCGCTACCACGCCCGGCTGATTTTTTTTATTTATTGTAGAGATGAGGTCTCGCTGCCCGGGCGGGTCTTGAACCCGCAGGCTCAGGCAATCCACTCACCTCAGCCTCCCAAAGGCGCGGGATTACAGGCTGAGCCACCAAGCCCGGCTTACTGCCTGAAGTTTTTAATGTAGGTAAATAGTTATCTCCCTAGCTATTTCAGTTTTGACTGAAAGGCTGTTAATAATTACATATTAAAGCCAGGATTTCTCTTTTTTAAGAAATGTAGTCTTGCTCTGTGGCCCAGGCTAAAGTGGTACAATCATACTCACTGAAGCCTCATACTCCTGGGCTCAAGCAATCCTCCCACCTCAGCCCCCCACAGGTATATGCCACCATATTCATAAAACCAACAATCTTAAGTCAAAACAGTGAGTGATTTTTGTAGCTAAATAGTAATGATAATTATTTCACAAATTTATGGTCTTCCACAGTTGACCTTAAATGTATGAACATCTCCAGGCTCTCTATTAGAATGGTGTGTTTAGATCCTTAGAATCAGACCTTACCTGGCCTTCTTCACCAGTGCTGGGAAAGACTGCATCTATCACTGAGATGTGGGATGTATATCACTCCTAAACATTTGGTAGACACCACAAATATCATTCCTACAAATTAGATAGATTGATGATTTTTTGTAAAAACAAAACAAAACAAAACAAAAAAAACAATGTTGCTGGTATATTCACCAAAAATATTTCCTAGATTCCCCCTGTAGCTTTATTACAACAACCCCGCCAAGTTCTTCAAGGGTTTTGTTATTCATGTCTTTCTATTTCTAGTGATATCATACTAGTTCAGGCTCTTCTTATATTCATTCAATAAAAATTACTTGAGCACCTACTACAATGTGCAAGCATTGTGTTAGGAGCTAGGTACAGGATGATAAACAAAAAAGACATGATTTAATCTCATATATTTTATAGTTTAATAAGAGAAACAGACACCAAACATGCAAATAAATATTCTGACAAACAGTCTAACAAGTTTTTATTAGGGATAATAACAGGATACTTGAAGAAAGGTAAGGCTGGATGTGGTACCTCATGTCTGTAATCCAGCACTTTGGGAGGCAGGAGGATTGCTTGAGTCCAAGAGTTCAAGACCAGTATGAGCAACATAGCGGGACTACATCTCTGCAATAATTAAAAAAAAAAAATTAGCTGGGCATGGTGGCTTGGACGCTGGAGAGGAAAGATAGCCTGAGCCCAGAATCATAATGGTGCCACTGCACTCCAGCCTGGGTGACTCAAAGAAAGAAAACTATAGAAAACATAACTCCAAATTTCCTAAATACATACTCCATCCTAGATAGTCAACTATATATTTTTAAACCACAGAAGCACATTGCGGAAAATAAAGGTTTTTTTTTTTGTAAAATATGCAATTTATATTATCAAATAGTGGATTTATTGGTATTTTAAATTAATGAATAAACATTTTTAAATTTTTAAATTTTAATATATTACAACAAATCACAAAAATAAAATCTCTTCAATCATTTTTACAGATATAAAGGCGTCCTCAGATAAAGATATTTGGGGATCACTGTCATTTGTTCAAAAAGAGACCAGGAAAGCTAACATAGGAAAGCCTAGGAAGATGGTTTTGTATGTTTTAGTATAATGACTATAAATGTAAAGGATAAAATCTGAGATAATATGGATTAAGGATATCAGCATCCCGAAATACCTAAAGATCAATAGTGCCTCTCTTAATATGTATTCAAAATAAAGCAATACTAATACATAGAATAAATGTAAAAAAACCCCAAAAATATTTTATATTTTCTCACATTTCAGTGATCTTTTTGAAAAAACAAATAATAAAATCTTCAACCACCCCATAAATTTTCAGATACTCATATTTGGATGATACTTAAAATGAGCTTATTGTAAAAACTGAGCATATGCAGAAGTATACTAGACACCTATGTCTCACCATATACAAATATTAACTCAAGGCTAGGCAGAGTGGCTCACACCTGTGATCTCAGTGCTTTGAGAGGCTGAAGTGGGAGGACAGCTTGAGGACAGGAGTTTGAGATCAACCTGGGCAATGTAGCAAGACTGTCTCTATGAAAAAAAAAAGAAAGAAAGAAAATTAGGCTGGGAGTGGTGGTTCATACCTGTAATCTTAGCACTTTGGGAGGCTGAGGCAGGAGGACTGTTTGATCCCTGGAGTGTAGGCCAGCCCAGGCAACAAGTGAGATAAAAAAAATTTTAAAAATTAGCCAGGCATGGCAGCGTGTGCTTGTAGTCCTAGCTACTTGGAGAGGCTGAGGCAGAAGGATCACCCAAGCCCAGAAGTCAAGGCTGTAGTGGACTATGATTATGCCACTCTATGCTAACCAGGGGAACAGAGTGAAACCCTCTTTAAATATTAATAAATAACTCAAGATGAACTAAAGATTAAATTTTAAGACCAGAAATGATAAAAAAAAATACTAGAAGAAAACCTAGGAAAAGCTCTTCTGGACATCAGCTCAGGCAAAGAATTTATGACTAAGACCTCGAAAGCAAATGTAACATAAACAAAAACAGACAAATGGAACTTGGTTAAATTAAAAGCTTCTGCACATCAAAAGAAATAATCAACAGTGAACAGATAAACTGAAGAAGAAAATATTTGCAAACTACGCATTTGACAAGAGACTAATATACAGAATCTACAAGGAACTCAACAATAAAATCTCATTAAAAAGTGGACAAAAGACATGGATTTTTTTTAAAAGACATATAAATGGCCAACAAGCATATGAAAATATGTTCAATATCACCAATCATCAGAGAAATGCAACTTAAAACCACAATGAGGTATCATCTTATGCTAGTCAGAATGGCTACAGTAGGTCTCCTACATACAAACAAGTTCCATTCCTACAGAATGTTTGTAAGTCCAATTTGTTTGTAAGTTCAACAAAGTTAGCCCAGGTCCCCAATGAATACAATTGACTATATGATACTATGTTGCAATAGAGTTATAATATTTTTCACACAAATAATACACAAAAAGCACAAAAATTAAAGAAAACATTTTTAGCCTTACAGTACAGTACACTGAAAAGTACAGTAATATAGTACAGTACAACAGCTGGCATACAGGGGCTGAAAGCGAGTGAACAAGCAAGAAGAGTTACTGACTGGAAGTGGGAGAGGAGGGGGTAGACGGTAGAGCTGAAAGATCGTCAGGAGACAGAGGGGAGGCTACAATTTCACTCATGCCTGACATTGATGGCATGGGTTCTGGCTCCTTGCTAGATTCAATTCTACCTACCCTCTTGAAAAACCGGTTCAGTGGGTAGTAGCTCTTTTTTTCTCATCATAGATGATGCATTGGATTGCATTCTGAATGGCTGCTGCAATCTTTGTAAAACAGTCTACTTTCAGGTCCTATGCCTCAAAACCTAACAGTGCCTCCTCAAATAAAGAAAATTCCTTTGCCATTTCCTGTGTCGTGAATCTCTTCAACTCTTCAGTTACTTCTTCCTCTTGACTCTCTTCATCCTTTCTCTGGGCTTCCAATTTTATCAGGTCTTTATTAATAAATTCCTCGTGTTCCACAGCAAGGAATTTAATGAAGTCATTGTCTTGCAGATCTAGTGCCAGCTTCTTGCTGAGGCTCTCTAAATTGCAGAAAACCTTTTTGGACTCCTCATCCACCTTCTTAAATCCACAAAAATTGTGAACAAACTGTGAGCACCTTCATTCTTCGTTCTTCTAATTCTCATTTGTGGTGACAGCCATAATCTCATGCCAAGCAAAGTCCATTTTTTTTAATGGCTTTGAAGATGTTATAAACCTTCCAAAATTGTCACAAGGTTGCTCTTGATCTGTCATTCACCTTTACTGCTGGACAGAAAGTATGACATAAACAATATTTCTGGGAAGTCACTGTAACTCCTTGGTCCATAGGTTAGATGAGCGACATAGTATTTAGTGGCAGATGCACTACTTTAACACTGGGATGAAAGTCATTCATGAATGAGGGGTGGCCCAGAACACTAGTCAAACAGCAAAAGAATTTTGAATGTGATATCCTTCTCCAAGCAATATTTCTCTACTTTGGGACAAAGTGGTGAAAAAACCAGTGCTGGAAAATGGTCCATGTAACTCAGGCTTTGGGGTTACTCCATACAGGAAGAGAGCCCCTGGCTATGTTTTTAAGGGTTCTTGGGTTCTCTGAATTACAAACTAAGAGAGTCTTCAGCTTCACATCACTGGAAGCATTGCCACTAAACAAAAGAGTTAACCTTTCCTTTGCTGCTTTATAGCCTGACTTCAACTTTCCCTCCTTACTGATGTAACTTTGGTCTGGCATCCTCTTCCAGTAGATACCTGTCCTATCCACATTAAAAACCTGCTTGGGTAAATACACAACTTAATAATTTCTCAAAGCATTTCAAGAAATTCCCAGGCAGCTACCATATCTGCACTCACTGTCTTGCCACTAACTTTAGGTTGTGAAGGTTGACTCTAGCCTTGAACGGATGAAACCACATGGCAGGTATTAATAGATGCACCCTCTGAATCTTCTCTGTGTTCAAGTTCTCATAAAGGCTTTTAGCTTTCTCTTGAATCAGCATTAAGCTGAGAGGGACTCGACATTGATGCTGATCCTTTATCCACATGCTGAGAAGTTTCTCCATCTCCTCTATCACTTTTCCATGCTTCTTCAATATTATTGTTTGAGCAGCACAGCAGATGTGCCATGACATGTTCCTTGATCTTGTCCTTGTTCTTTAGGATCGTACTGATGGGTAAACAACTCAGGTTGTAAGAATGAATGATGCCTATCATATTTTTGCCTCATTCCACTCTCTCCATTATTTTCATTTTTGTTTCCATCATTATCACTTGGCATTTCTTAGCAGTACCACCTACACCACTGCTTTTACACTTGCTTTCGGACATCCTGAACTTGAAATAAAGATACTGTACTGCTGTACTCTATACAGTATTGTAAAATACACAAAAGCAATTGTAGAGGATGCATGCATGAGACAATATACAATAGACATGTGAATTGACTTTTACATGACTAGACATGCAGATGCATGTTTGCATCTTTGAAAGTTCGCAACTTGAAGGTTTGTATGTAGTGGACTTGCTGTATTATTAAAAATAATAGATGTTCAAAAAATAATAGATGCTAGTGAGGACGTAGAGAAAAGTAGGAATGTAAATTAGTACAATCTCTATGGAAAACAGTATGGAGATTTCTCAAATAATTAAAAATAGACTGGATCCAGCAATCTCGCTATTGGTTATATAACCAAAGGAAAATAAATCAGTGTATCAAAAATATACCTGCAACCATGTTTATACAGCACCATTCACAATAGTAAATAGCCGGGCACTGTAGTTCATGCCTGTAATACCAGCACTCTGGGATTGAGAGGCAGAGGATTGACTGAGCCTAAGCATTTGAAACCAGCCTGGGAAATTTGTTAAGACCTTGTCTCCAAAATAAATAAAAAAATTAGCCAGGCATGGTGGTGCATACCTATAGTTCCAGGTACTTGGATGGCTGAGGCAGAAGGATCACCTGAGCCCAGCAGGTCGAGGCTGTGGTGGCCATGAGCATGCCTCAAAAAAAAAAAAAAAAAGCAAAGAATCAACCTACGTGTCCATCAAGGGAGGACTGGGTAAAGAAAATGTGGTATATGTGTGTGTGTGTTGTGGAATGCTACTCAGACATAAAAAAGAATAAAATCATGTCTTTTGCAAAATGCAGTGCTGGAATTGTAGGCCATTATCTTAAGTGAAATAACTCAAAAGTCAAATATTACATGTTTTCACTTACAAGTACAAAGTAAATAATGTGTACACATGGACACAAAATGTGGATAGCTGACACTGGAGACTCAGAAAGAGTAAAGAAACTACCTAATGGGTACAATGTACTCTACATGGGTGATCGTTACACTAAAAACCCAGATTTCATTGCTATGCAATATGCTCATGTATCAAAACTGCATTTGTACCCCCAATGTAAACAAATTTTTTAAAAAAGGAATATAATACTTAGGAATAAATTTAATGAAGGGAAGAGGAAGATCTGCACACTAAAACAAAACTGGAAGCATCACACTTCCTGAATTCAAATTATATCACAAAGCTATAGTAATCAAAACTCTGTTATAGGCATAAAACAGACACACAGACCAATGGAACAGGAAAGCCCAGAAATAAATCCATGCTTATGTGGTCAACTAATCTTTAACAAAGGTGCCAAAAGAACATGATGGAGAAAAGATAGTCTCTTCAGTAAATGAAGTTGGAAACCTGGATAACCACACACAAAAAAATGAAATTGGACCCTGATCTTACACCATACTTAAAAATCTATTCAAAATGGCTAAGGACTTAAATGTAAGACATGAAACCATAAAACCAAAAGAACACATGGAAGAAAGCCCCATGATATCTATCTGCCTTGGTAATGTTTTGGATGTGACACCAAAACTATAGACAGCAAAAGCAAAAACAGACAAATGGAATGATATAAAATGAAACAGCCTCTGCACAGCAAAAGAAATAAAATGAAAAGGTAACCCACAGAATGGGAGAAAATAATTAAAAATCCTATACCTGATAAAGAGTTAATACCCAAAATATACAAGTAACTCATACAACTCAATAACAAAAAACAAATAACTATTTAAAAATGGGCAGAAGACTTGAATAGATATTTTTCCAAAGACATGCAAATAGCTAACAGGTATATAAAAAGGTGCTCAATACCACTAATCATCAGGGAAATGCAAATCAAAACCACCATGAGGTGTCACTTCATACCTATTAGAATGACTATTATCAAAAAGTCAAAAGAGGCCAGGCGCAATGGCTCACACCTGCAATCCTAGCACTCTGGGAGGTGGAGTTGGGAGAATTTATTGAGGCCAGGAGCTCGAGACCAGCCAGGGCAACAAAGTGAGACCTTATCTCTACAAAAAATAGAAAATTAGCTGGGCACGGTGGTGCACACCTGTAGTCCCAGCTACTCGGGAGGCTGAGGCAAGAGG